TAAAATGATTTCTGAACCATTTTAAAGACTGATAATTAATATAAAATGTCTTTATCTCTAATTTCTTTAGTAAAGAAGAGAAGGTAAAGAATAGTCCATCTACTTAATATTTTCTCATTAAATATTCACTTAATAATTTCATTTGAGCAGAAATAAAAATAAAATTTAGTTAACTGTCTATAAGAAAGAGACAAAATTAAATTCAAATTTTTTTTCTTTAAGATCCTCCAGAGACATTTTTTTGCGAATAATACCCACTCACATACAACTGATAATTTCAATCTATAAATGAATATAGTGATTATTTATTTTCAAGGATTCTTATAAGCACTAATTTAGCAAAAATATCTTGCTTTTTGTAAAGACCAAACACAGAAAATTGTTTCTATTGAAAATATGAACCACTTTTCAAGTAATGCTGAAAAGCAAATAATCTTCTTTACACTTTCAGCAATAGGACTTGATGAATTTTTCTAAAATTTGTCATAAATGAAACTGCCCACCTTTTGAAAACTAATAAGAATTGTTAATGATATAAAATTTGTGTTCAATGAAATGCTTAGAATAATCTCTAGTGCTACATCTGTCAGCAAAAAAGGGATGGTTTTATTTTCAAAAATAAAAATGGTATTCTAAAATAATTTTCTTTTTGAATGTTTAAATCTTGCCAATTTCATAAAATAATATACTACCTAAACATATTTTGCTAATTACTATCCTAGAATTTTGCTTTCAAATCAAATACAGGTGGCTTAAAGCATTTTTAATATATAATCATTTACTTGCATTGAAATATTTAAAACTAATTGTAATGTAATACTTTTTATTTCAATCAATTTAAAATGAGTTCATTGACAAAGAAATGCATGTTTTGAATTCTATTTAATGCAGCAAAGTTCAACACTTAAATCTCTTTCTTTCAGTGCATACAGTGCATGTTTTTTTTTTTGTTTTTTTTAAGATATTTAAGACGGATGCATTTCTTTCAATTTTCTACACATTTTATTTTTATTCAAATTTGCTCTGCTAGCAATCAATAGTTTGACTGTTAGCAAATGTTTGAAAGAAAATGTTTAAAGAAATTAATCATAATTGGTATTGATACCAATTCAGAAACTGAAATGTTTGCTTTTTTTTTTTAACCAGTACAACAAAATAATTTTGATGTTGATTGTATGACTTACTTGAAAATTTTCTCATTTTATAATTGTTCTCTTTGTTCTTATCTTTTCAGATCCATCAACTGAAAAGCTCCAGTGCTAACTGACATTCATGACCTTTTAGTGTTGACAAAATAACAGAAAGACCTGACTTACACGGTGAATAATTTGGACAGAAATCTGGATATTCTTATGGACTAATCTATAAATATAAGCCATACTTTGCACTTATATTTTGTGTTGCATTTTTTTTTCTATTTCTGATTTTGTTTTTTTTTTTGGTAATGGTTGAAGTCTCCAACATTCACCTTGTCTTTATTTTCTATTTATTCTGTGAAAGAAACTGATTGTTTTTCTTTCTGCACACACCAAGAAACAAAACTGCAAAGAATTTTTCTCTCTTTTGGTTGAGCAAGAATTACATTCTTTTACATTTTACGCATAATTTTCTTTCTTGGAAATTTTAAATATTTGTTGTTTCAATTTAAACAATGGATCATTGAGAAGAGGGGGCTTTGTTAAATGACCAATTCAAATGATAATGAGTTTAATAAATATAATTTATGGTTTGGTTGTTAGGAAAAAATGGCTGGTGTCAATCAAACAAACTTTATTTTCCTACTTTCCCTGCTAAATAAAATGCTTTGCTAAGAAATCTATTGGCACACTGTTTTGTAATTTCCACAAGTTTTGCAGAGTCGTCTACAGGCAAATAATGTGTGCCCTCAAAGATTACCCAAATCTTATCCTAACTACAATTATTAAGTAGGATGATATTTCATAATCCATTTCCCTATCATTATTAGCCTTTTCTTATTTCTCTTTATATATATAATTTTCAATTTATTTATTTATTTCTTTTTTGACTTTAAATAAGAAATAAATGCAAAGCATCATTTCATGTAATTGAACTGAAAAAGATTTGAATTAGCCACTTTTGAAATTGGTTGAATATGAAACAAATTATATCAACTAGTAGAGGTACCTGGCATTGTTCAATGAAAAAATATCCAATTTTAAGGAAAGTTCTGACATATTTTTTTACTAAATTTTAAGAATTCATAGAAACCCATGTTACTGTGATAATTTGTGTATGTTTGGACATAATAGCCAAACAAAAAGTCCCAAAAGCAGCCATTTCTGATCAAATGTTGAAAGTTAAAGAAAATACAAAAATCCTACTCTGAAAATGTTAGAACAAATGAGGCCAGATATTTTTTAGCCACAAAGGCAAGATCTCATCTCCTCTGTTACAGTATCTTTACACTTCAATATAGTCAGTATTTCTACTTAATCACAACCTCTACTGACCTCAAATAACCTCGAAGATTAACCTCACATAATCTATGCTATTACTTGAAGTCTTGCAGTTATTTGTACAAAATCTGGGTTACTGGTACGGTGGGGGGGGGCATGATGTCTGAACATACACACACGTTAACAGGAGTAGAAATGCTATTATCTGATATTGTTTTTCAGTTACACAATGTTTTCTTTTATTTAGCTGAAAAAAGAAAAGCTATTTTAATCTCTAGTGTCCTCCCAAAACCATTTAACTTATTTGTTTCCTCCACATGTTACTCCCAAAGACCAAGTTACCGCCAAGAATTTGTTTGGCTATAATACAAATCATAAAAACTATAAAACAATTTTGACTCCAATGACTTTGAAATTTGACTTTGACCATAACAACTTTATTATTTAGGACATCAAAAATATTTTGTACTTTATAGCAAACCCAACAGATTATTCTGTTTTGTTAGAAATAACATGCTTTTAGATAATCTCCGAGGTTAATCTCATACTAAAGGTCTTATATTCATGCAAAAAATTGATTTCCTGGAATTTTCTGTTTGGACATGGTGTATGAACATGCAAATGTGTGCCCATTCAAAGTTTGGTATATTAAAAACTAAACTGACAAAGCAGTCCCAACAAATATTTTCTGATGCAAATTAAAGTCTTTGTAAAAATCAATAAATGTCTTAGCAACATGAATTCTTGTGGATCAGCTGCTAATCTAGAACATGTATTGTTTCAGCTGTAACTTGAAATTTGATTTATAATGAGTATTATTGGCCATAAAATCCCAGGCATAACTCTTAAAACTGGAACTCACCTTTACTTGAAATCATAAAAATAAAATATATTTTTTATATTCTAGGTAAAAGCAGTTGAACAATAGATATGGACATCAAAATTGATGAAAAAAAAAAAAAATCAATTTTCTTCTTTAAAAACTTCACATTAAAAATATACCAACTTGATTAAACAATTTTTCTAGACGTAAGCAAAAAAAAAAAAAAAGTAACAAGCTTTGTTAACACTTTGGTTACTGTAGATGTACTTATTACCTCTTTATGAAACTTATATTGCCTGGTGTCAACATATGTTGGTCTCTATGATTTGGGTTTATTAATAAACTAGTATAGACATCTAGTAATGTACAATACAACCTATTTTGTGACATATTTGGGGAGGTGTGCCATTTAATTTAATGTATCATATCTGATCAAAATTGCAGTGCCCATGAGAAAATACCACCAGTGGCATAATTGTTTGGTCATTTATTTCAAGTAAATTGCAATTTCCTATTTTTGTTCAAAATGGGCCAGCACAGCCAAGCAACAATGACGTGTTTAAATTTAAAATTTGACTTGTTTTTATGTCTTAACTTTCAATGTATGAGGAAAGTAAATTTTACAGAAATATGAATCTTTCATAAAATTCTAACTAAAAAAATTTGCTATAAATTTTCCATCAATTTCTGAAATGAAATTTTTAAAAGATGCATATGTCTCTGCACATATGAGAAGTCTTTTAGTGCAAACATCTAACATTTTTGTTTGGTTGTCAGCAATTCAAATCAATTGATGTAAGCATTCTTCAAAGTTGTTCTTTGGAAACTAAGACAAAAAAAAAAAAAAATGAAGTTCCTATAAGATTGTCAATTTATTTGTAATAAAAAGTAATTCAGAAAATATTTGCTAATCATCCAAGTGAATGAGACCTGCTTGTGAATTCCTCAAAGACTGCAACTCCATCAGCCGCTAAGCAATTTCATTCCAGAAAATTCTCTTGATATTTCACAATATTGGGAAATATTTTCTATTTGTTAGCATTGTCATAAGAACGTTCACAAATTGGGCTTCAAATCAATGGTGACTTGATTTTTTTAAATTGATAAAGATAAATCAAAAAGAGTTTGTTTTTTTTTTAGGTCATAATTTCTAAAAAAAACTATTTTTCTTTTTAATTTATTTCACTGAAGGCAAAAAGCAGAAAAGAATTGATATTCTGCGTAGAAATCTTGAAAAGCTTCTATAATTTTCCACATTTGTTATTACATTTTCAAGTTGAAATAACATCTGTTAAATATTGAGATACAATTTCGTACGGTTGGTAAGCTTTATATAAAAAAAAACAAAAGCTGTGTTCATATTTCAAACAAAATAATAATGTAAATGGATTGAAGAGTGATATTTTTTTTTTTTTTTAAACAAAAAAGTTTCTCTCTAAATACGCAACGTCTTTATTCTACAATTAGTATTCCATTTTTATCATTTAAAAAACATTTTAAAAGACCAGTTAAAATTATGATCAGTTGTCAAGATATTTGTTAGATAAGAATGTAAATATGTATTGAGATTTGTTCAGTTTTACCGAGTTATCAATGACAACATTTATTGAATGATGCTTACAGGTTAAGGTGGAAAAAGTATTTCCCTTCAGTTTGGTTAACTCGGATGTTTTAAGTTACAAAAGCACATTTTACTCATATATTGAACAAAAGCTGACAAAAATGAATGTTAAAATATAATTTATTGAAAGACAAAAATATCAAGTAATATATGTGTTGAGGTATGAGACAAACATTGTTGCTAATCTTTGTGTATTTTCAACTGGATGCATCTTGGTATAAGTAATAAATTGCCGTCTATGTCGATGTAACTCTGATGCTGTCAAATGCCGATTCAAACAGATCTGGGTGTAATGGTTAAGAAGAAATGATTTAATCAGTTGTATTAACATAAACAATTTACTAGAAAGACAACTAAATCCACCATTAGATTATTTGGCAAGGTTTTTTTTAAAAATAAAATACATAATAGCAATTAACTCAATCCAATGATCCATTTCTGGAAGCCAATACCCCCCCCCCCCAGCAAAATTGATCAGTTTGGAGGGTGATTATAACCATGTTTATTACTTTTTTGTTTTTTTATAATTATTTTCTAAAAGTAAGAAAACCTCAACTTCATTAAAATATGATGATACTGAATATTTAAAAAAAAAAGTTTTCATATTAATGTTAATAGTTTACAAGAAGGAATATATTCAATGATTGAATCATTTAAAAATGTCTTACTGAAATTAACTTTCATGCACAAAAGGAAAGTATATACAGAGTTTCAAAATATGGATAATATTTCTTGTATTATTTGCAAGGGTTTTTTTGTTTTGGCAAACTTGGATTTAGCATTGGGGAATATTATCTTCATTAATATGAGTAGCGAATATTAAAAGTGATTATTAAATGCCTATAAAAATGAAAACAAATTTTGAAGACCAAGAATTAAAATTGTGAGTGTCTTATCGGAATATAATATATGATATATATATTTGATGATAAAACAAAAATGGCTGTAGTTGAGGAGGACAAAGTAGCAGACATAAAGGAGAATTTTAAAATAAATAAGTATATTGCTTTGTTGTGCACATGGAATGATACAAGAGTTGCTGAAAAGTTCTCAGCCCCACCAAGAAAGAATATCAAAATAAATTCTAATCTTTGGTTAGTGAAACAAGCTGAGAATCTCCTGTCTTTCTAAAATATTTTTAAGCTAAAGAAAAATCTTCCAGTACTCTAGATTTTGAACAAAAGTGTTAAAAAAAATGGAGATAGAAGAGGAGAAATGTGTAAGATTGATGATTCAAATATTTTTTCAGAGTTAAAATAAAATGACATTTTAGCCAGTAATTGTCTCTGAATTAAAAGTTATAAATGTTATTAAAACTAGAAAAATGTTACTTTTTAAGTTTATCACTTAATTCAATGATAAATGTTTGACACAATAAAATGAATACAGAAAATTTAATAATAGCAGCTTCAAGTAATGATGCATCAGCCTTATTCAAATTTGAAAATAACTAGTTTGGTTTTCAAAGGCCCTGTAATACTGAATTCAACAAACCATTCTTATGATTCCAGAAAGTTGACTGATAGGTTACATTGTGAAAAGATGAACATTGAAATTGGTAAAGTACATTATTAAAAAAAAAACAAAACCTATACAAAGATTCTAGGCTTTTGGATGTTGGCTGATTCACCTGAAGTTATAATATTGAGCAAATTAAAAATTTCATATAAGCAGAATCACTTTGGGGCTTATGAAAACCATATTTAGTAGGCTTTACAATGCGCGCAGGCCATACCAGAACAAAGAGGATCTCGATGATAACTTTAAGGCAGACCACACAAAGTGTTTTAGGCTCATTAGCTTAGTTTTGTCTCCATTACTTATTGATATAAAGATATTATTAACTTGTAAGACAACAAATTATCATTTCATTAGTAGTTTTCTTTCTTGAACTAAACTTCATTTAAGTATATTTTGCAATTGCTATAAAGGGCGAACATCTTAACATGCTTAATTCCACTACTTCACTATTTAAATAGTTTACTTTGGAACCAACTGACACTTCTAAACCTTACAGTACAAGGTAAAAGAAAAAACCTGAAATCCACAGAACAATATTTAAAAAAAACAAAAAAACCCACATGTATGCCTTTTTATGTGGCCAACCTAAACAAATCATTTCATTAAAATGACCAACACCAAAAGAAGCAGAAGGCATCAACATTCAGTATAGTAAAAATTATTTTCGATATTTAAATAGTTTTACCATTTTAATAGAAATTTGAAGTTTATCATAGCCGTCAATTTAATGAATATGCAATAGTTCCAACTTTGATCAGACTGTTCTCTGTATAAGTTTGGCTTCTTTTCAGGGTCGATCTGAATCTCAAACCAGGATTTAAAGAAAACAAACTTATTTTCCATTACAAAATTACACTTGTCAATTTACTTTATAAAATGTAAAGAAAGAAAAATAACCTGTTTTAGTTGTAAAAGGATACTTTTTCATTCACATCTGGAATGGTCAGCAAATCTCCTTCTACACTTGTTGTTTGGGCTTGCATAATTGCCTTCAAAGAAGCAAAGAATCCTTATTATAAAGCTTATGATTTAGTCATTTAATTTTCATCCTAATTATTGAGAGAAAACCATGCAAATGAATTAAGAAGAAAGAATGGTGATAGATATTCATGTAGAACATTAGAGAATTTGTTTAAAAGATATTTTCAGTCAAAAAAAGCATTTTGTCTACAATTCAGGTCCCAATACAGACAAAAATCAAACAGGTCAACTGAATTCCTCTAAAAATACACTGGACTTACTTTTTTTTTTTTTTTATTTGTGTTTTACTTAACTTTCCTTCTTCCTCACATCACAAAACAATGAACTGAGGTCAAATCTCATCAACGTGCAAAGCAATTATTGTAGGTCAGTCAACATGTTTACAAAGTCTGTCTTTTATGATGGCACAATAGACTCACATTTGATAGTATCTTTCAACATTGCAGTCATGTCATATGTGGAAATGGTAGCACTCAAAAAAGAACAAGCTATGCTCACCTTAATTGTACTCAGAGTGACACGATCCAATTCATACAAAAAGTTAGTGGAAGACAATGGTTGCTGAAATATGATAAAAATCATTGAAAAGAAAAGGAAACTATGTAAGTTATTATATTTGCTTAGACATGTAAAATTAGAACTCATTCAGAATAATTCTAGCCAGTTTTTCTTTTGTAGACATGACGTTAATCAGAAATTCATAATTAAATAGCAAATTAATTTTGAAAAACTTAAACAAATGCAAGTCGTCAAAACTGTACTTACTGACTGAGTTGACATATTTGGCGGTGGAGGTTTTCGTAAGAAGAGAGCATCAGATATCTGTTTGTAAGGCACTTCATCACCAACTTGGATCACAAATAGAGGACTGTCCCATCGATTCTGGGAGTTGGGACTTTCAAATCGCTGTGCTAATTCATGGAGTCTGGAAACAAAAATTAAAGATATTAAAACACACACTACAAGTCCCAATAAAAAAAAAATTTACCTTTGGAAGGTTTGATAAAAGAGAAAGGAAATAAATCATATACATATATAAAATCAAAAGGGATCAATTGAAAGAAACAGTGTTGTAACATCTTAAAACTGATTGCAAATGATTTTGGGTGGCGGTTAGAAATATTATCAATACTTGTAATCAAAAGCTGTCAAAGCAAAAAAGTTTAAGGAAAAGATTTCAACCATTAGAGATATAAAAGTAAGTATTGTGATTCTGATCTATATTTTCTGATATTTGAAATTGTTGGGATTATAAGTGGAAAACTAACTTTACTGAAAAATCTACACAAACTTACATCTCTGTTGAGTATTGGTCAGCAAGATTACGACTTTCATTCCATTCTAAACATTGTTGAATATTACTGGCACAATGTACCTACAGAGCAAGAAGTGGTTAGAAAAATTCAAAAACAAAACAATTTACCAATGTTGTTAGCACATATTATTATTAGCCACATTCAAGTATATTTTTGCTGGTTTGTAAAGCATTAGAAATATGAGTGGCTCAGAAAAAACCAAAATATCAAAAAGTCCTTAGAGTCAATCCTAGATTAGAATGTGCAAAGAAATATTCTGTAATAGTTTTGTACTTGTAAAACTTACAATAACCACATATAACATTATTATTGTTACATTTTCTCAACAGATATGTGGAATTTTCATGAAATAAATGCTTAAAAATTCATTGTTCATGATTAAGAGTTAAATAATTTTTTAAAATTCAGAAAAATTAAAACCGTATTTTAGCTTAAATTGTTTTGTGTATGACTGTATAAAATTTTACCTGCAATGAACAACTGCAAAAAAACAGTCTTTTAGCAGAGGGCATTTAATATTCAATTTCTAGTTCATTTCCAAATGACAGTTGATTAGTCTGGCTATTATTTCATAAGTGAAGTTTAATGCATTCTTCAGGCAACAAAACTGTTTTCAATGGTTGACAATAAAAGATTTCTTATTTTCTCTTATATCAGTCAAAGTATGATCAGCTTTTCTCCTTTTAACAGCCATCTTTGTATAAAGGAAAGCAATTATCTTCTCAGGAACTAATTGTTTACCTTTTTCACATACAATGGCGGCTTGATGAATTGAGTGATGAAAAAACATGCCAATATTTTAAAGATGCCTAAAAAGTTTACCTTTCCTAATGTACCTTGAAGAAAGGTCCTTTTTAGCTTTTATTCATATAAACTTGTAACTTAAAGAGTATTCAGGAACACTAATTTGAATTTAATTTACTAGTGAGTGCCATATTTCCTTTGGTCTGTTTCAGGATGAAGATTGACAGTATAATTATAAGTTTTCTCTTTCATTCTGAAACAATATGTTCCTCTATCACATGTGACATTTACCATTGCAGTAAAAGACACAAATAAAAATGCACCATTGTAGTTGCATGTGTTTTCGCTGAATTTGACTAAACTATAGTATTGAAAAAGTAATTTATATGTACATGTATGTTCATGACTAATTGAAATTTTATTCACAAACTTTATTAGAACATTTACCAGCATAGTAAAATTAGTGTATTTTCATTGAATATATATTGAAAAATCGATATTTAGAAGTGTAAGCAGTCATTGTAAATATTTTTGGATAAGTAAATCTTTCAAATTTCTCTTCTGCTCTACCTGGTGCTGTCAAAAGTATTTTCACATGAGTAATTAAAATTGAAAAAAAAGCATGCATAAGTAATTTATTTCTGATGTCAATCTTGACAGCAAGTAAATGGTACTTATGTTCATAATTTAATCTAAAAATCAATGTTATAAAAAACTTTGTGGAATTGCACATGATTTTTATGATTAGAAGATACCATTCATACCATGGATGATAGTGAACTAATGAAAAACTAGTCAGTTTAGAAAAGTCATCAGATTTGGTAGACATTTTGAACAATTATATATTTTCAATATTTAAAAACAAATAAAAAAATTCTTTCTTTCTTTCTTTCTTTCTTTACAATGACATGATTGGAGCAAGTATCATATGCAGGTAGAGATTTCACTTGTGGTTAGTAATTGAAATACAATCCAGACATATTGAAGAAAAAGAATTATGGGCTCAAATAAATATTGATTTTCATATAAAACAAATAATCCCACATAAAATTCATCTTAAAATGGTGCAGTTGAAATAACTTTGTAAACACTGAAATATGAAAAGGTGTTTAACAATGAAAGCAAAATCTGTATTTAGGGAGGAAAAAAAAGAAAATGTTTTTAACTTTACTTACCACACAATGTGGAGTAGAAGTGGATTTAGAGACACAGTATAATTCATATCGAAATCCTACAAAGTAAAATAACACTTTGGATGTTTACTGAGTTTAAATTTATATTTGAATTGATCAGAAATTTTTCTTAATATATTTGTAAAGTATTTTCAAAATATACAAAAAGCAATATCAACCCACTCATTATTACCAATTCATTTTTAACTTAGATTTTATTAACACTAATTTTCATTTACAGTATTTCTAAAATCAAACAAGGTCAATCATCTATAAGCAAAAGAATATTTACTCTCTCTTGTTAATTAAATAATTTTACTGATTATTTTGATTATTACTTTCCTGTTAAAAAAAGAAACGTCATTGAACAAATACAATCAACTATATAATAAAAAATGGATATTTGCCAGTATATCCATATATGGAACAAAAATGACAATCATTATTGAGTTTTGGTACAAGTGTCTCTTATATTTATAAAACCTACAATAATTTTATTACAGTTATGATTGAACTCAGGATGAAGAAGGTTTGCTTCTACTAACAAAATAAAAATTAAGGTAAAATGTAAAGAGAATATCGATTATTCATATCAATTTGGTCAGTGGAAAGTAAAAGATTAAAATTAAAAATTCCATAATGTAATAATGAAGAAAATAAAACAAATGAATTTAAGAAAGATTTTCAAGAAATATACTTGACACTTATTTTCAGTGATGCTTTTTTTTTTCTTTTTTTTTTTTTTTGTCCTTTTACCAATGTACATGTTTTTGTCCTTTTACCAATGTAGATGTTTTAATGTGATACTTTGGATTGTATTTTTATATTAAACAGTTCCATGGTAAAAGGCTTAACTAAAAGTAAAAACAAATATTTTCTACAACAGTTGTAAAATGTTATCAAACTGTAAATGATTTCTGGCAAGATCTCACAAATGATTAACAAATGCTGCATTGAAAAAGATTCTTTTTTTTTTTTTTTTTTTTTTTAAAAAAAAAAAAGTCAGGTCAATTTTTTCATATTCTGTATCTCAGTCAAAATTTTATGATGACTTTTTTTTAATTTACAACAATATTCGATGTTTTTAATAACAAATCCCCAGCTTTTAATTAATTCTGTTATTTTACCTTTTATATAATTCATAGAATCCACAATAATGACGGCATCCTTTGAAAGAGATCTATAAAAAAAAAAGTGGGAAAGATGCAAAAATTAACTCATTAAACACATTAAATTTTTATAAATGAGTATAATAATGTTAAAATTTGTCATATAACACTAGTACAAAAAGTCAAAATTTTTTCTTCAAAATATTGCTTTTTATACTACAACATACAATGTCATAAAAATATAATAGTTACTTCTTTGTTGAGCACATTTTTATACAAAATATATTTAATTTGATTTGCACCTATTAATATAATATATTAGTTAATAATTAAAAAAAAATATTTCAAATTGGTAAAAGTTAACATTCAAAATATTTTGAAAATTGATCATTAGATAAAAGGATGTTAAAAAAGTCCCAGTCTTAATTAGTCAAATTTTGAAAAGTGGATCAAGTTGAAATCTTTTCAATAAGCCCTCAAGTTTCATCAAAATTGTCTCCTGAAAACTGATAGAATTAAAAAGAAAAGATATTACCAGGGAAAATATTGAGATAGAAATTGAAAATAGATGCCCTACTGTCCAGTGGTAAGCTTAAATGTTTCAGTTAAACTATATTTGATAGAATAGAATTTCTACATTCACATTCTGTCTTGTGATATGTCTTTAATGGAACTGCAATTAACAAAACTATGAGAATCATGATAACAACAATCATTACATTATAAAAGACTGGCTTAAAAGAGATGAATCCATGGTTGTTACAAATGTACAACACTTGCCACTGGTAGATCTAGAAAAGATGTTGCTTTCACATCGGACTTGACCTCACTTCATAAAAGCAATGGCACATGATACTCGTGGGTTTTAATACTGATAAGTAAAATTTGGCAAAGAGAAAAGTGATGTAAAACTGAAGAGAGGCATTTCCATTGAATCTGAGATGAGAGATTTGATATCTGACTGCAAGTTTGCTGGTAACTTAAATCCACTTGAGCTGGCAACAAGGGATTCATTAGTTGTAAAAAACTTTCTTGGGTTTCAAAGAACCAATGATGATGATTTAATAAGCAACATGCCAACAACATCAAAGAATGGAATGCTGTATATCTCTTAAACTAAACTTCTTGCAACCTCATCAATTTTTTTCCAATGGATCTGGGTTCCATAAACAATGAGCATAGTGGGAGGTTTCACCAGAACATGTCTGAGATGGAATCAAAGTATTAAGGCCGGTTCAATCCAAACATGCTAGGTGACTTTAGCAAGACAACAGCTCAATTCACAGCCACCAGACTAAGTGACTCAAGCATTTAAGTGACTGTTCTAGGTTTATTCATCATCTAGATCTTTCTTAAATATATATTCATAATTTACTAATATACTGATTTTCTTGAATATAAATATACTATACGGAGTACTAATATACTTTTAACTCTCAAAATGGATCCCTTGGGACAGTCTTTTTCTTACAGCCATATCAGTTGAATTAATCACAATTCACTTTAGTTTCAAGTATTTTTCTATCAAAGTGTTTGTAAAAATTGAGAAATTAATGTGTTTACTAAAGCTAATGATCTGAATGAAAAATTCAACAAATTTGAAAATTTTAATTTAATTCCTTAAATTAAAATTGGAATTCTGATTGTAGAATTAAAATATTTTACCAAAAAGGGTTACATGCAAGAAGCCAGATAATTTTAGACAGAGGTTATTAAGGTGTTTTATTTAATATAGATAATGCTGAGATTGGAAAATTATAATTTTCACCAAAATCTTTAATTGGCCAAATGTTGATTATATGATTACCTAAAAAGTATGGTCTCCATCTAATGGTGGAATCAAAAGAAACAATGTTAGAATTGGATGGGAAACTGACCAAGCTAAATTTGGAAGAGTGTGAGAAGCAATCGATTGGGATTATTAATCTCAGCCCACAACCACTGCAATGGATTTTTATAAAAGCTATTGGATTTTGGTTCTTGAACAATTAAAACCAGAGCAACTCAAACAACTAACCCCCTTAGTTAAGCATCCTTGCAAGATGAACTTATCATTGAAAGAACCTAAAAAACGAGATTTTCTGTCTTGAAAATTTTCAATTGCAAGAAAGTCACATTGATGGAGATTCAAGACCAACTTTGGCTGTAGGACTGACACCATTATTTCATGAATTCCTATACTAAACCAATGAACAATTTAATGAACCAGGGAACGTTGACTATTATGAGAACTGACCGACCAGCTGTAGTAATGAAAACCACAGCACCACAAAACAAGGAAGAGTTAATGTCAAATCTTGTAACCCACTGAATAAATGTATTGTTTTTGTTATCTATGAACAGGTGTTTTACATCTAATTCTGCAAATCACTCTTTTCCTTGTGACCAAATTTGTTTGGCTTGATAGATTTTTTAATCAATTTTGCTCAAAGACATCCTAAAATAAACACTAATTGGATGGGGAAGCCAACAAGAGGGATAAATATATTTTTTCAATTCCCAATATATATTTATCAGGTAAATCTAGCAGTGGTAGAAATGGTTTACTTACTTTACACCACTGGTGAGTATTGTATTTTATTGATGTTATAAAAACAATAATCCTAATCCAGCCTCAATTAACATGTTGAACTCTAATTCTAAATCTGACCTTTTGAACTCTAATTCTAAATCTGACCTTTTTTATGTAACACTGAACTACAAGACCAAATTATTTCCATGATAATTTGGAGGTCATTCTGCATGGGAGGGTAAAACCCATCGTTGATGTGAATGTGTAGGTGAATGGGTGTAAAACATTTCTTCTGTACAATTAATCTTAGCGACAAATAAAATTGTGAAACCAAAACAAAATGAATCCAAGAACTAGGCGTGAACTTCACTGGCACATTTGCTGATAATGATTACATTAATTTGAAAGAGTTGAGAAAATAGAAAAAGATAAGTTTAGAAAAATTTTAACTTTAAAATGACACCAAATAAATGTATCTTAATAAACAATTGTTTTAAATTCAAAACAACAATCTTGTAAGCAGATCATCATCATCATTATTATTGGAAGGAATCAAAACAAAAAAAATTCCAACAAAACCAGTCATGTTGTTAATCAGTTCAAAAAGCTGAATTGCAAAGTTGTACAAAATTTCAATAACAAATCTGACACACATAATATGGAAAACATGAAGAATAACAATTAAGAAGTATTCACCTTTGAACAGCTGATTTCAACAAACCACGAGTTTCTCTTTCTTTCTTTGAATCTGAATTTAAAAAAAAAAAATAAAGAATTGAGCATAAATGAAAATTTAAATAAGAATTAATTTAAAAATTTCAGTTATTTTCATATCATTTACCTGTACAACACTGGTTAGATGGAAGAGAAAAACCTTCAGACAATTCGTGATATTTTTACTCATTAATTTATATATTGTCTCAATATTTGAGAAATCTTATTAAAGAAAAATATGCACTCTCTGGCAGGATTCGAACCTGCATCCTCTAGGTCAGAGGGAACTGCTGTTGGCTCTGATATGCTTTAACTGACTCAACCACAAAGAACCTTTGCCGATCAAGCAAGGCTGAATATTGCCTTTAAGTGAAATTTCATATCTGCTGAGTTTTCAATCCAACCATAAAGCAATTTCTAAAAAAGTAATTCATTTTTCATTTTTTACTCTGACAGATTTTATCACTTTAATGATTATTTTTAGTGGATACTCATATTTAAGTAGAAGTTCCATTTATTTATTAAACAGTAGATTTATTTATTTTTGCCTACCAACCTGAATATTACTTCTTTAGAAAATACATTTTCAAACAAATATTTTAGACATAAAATATCAAATGTATTACATGTTCTATAACTTTATAGTGAGCACATCTTTAAGGCAACTTATAAGAAAAAAAAAATCAAAAAAATTTTCCAAAAAACAAAAATTATAAAAATAACTTAGTATTTTGTACTAGCTCCCTTAGTACTTAAAACAGTGAAAATTCTTTTTGGTAGTAGACAGAATATAAAATCAAAATAAACAAATGATCCATATTTAATCACTCAGTCTCTACGGTCATCCCAAACTGATCAAGAATTTCTGGATAGTCACTTTCCTTTTCACTATTATCCAACAATCTCTATCTATAAAAGTCAGGATGTGTGTGTGTGTGTGTGTAACGAATGCACAGCCGCAATTTTTGACAGATTTGCACCAAAATTTACATGCACATGCTCCAAGTTAGCAGAAAGGCCAAGACCGACTTCTACTGGCCAGAGTGAAAACCAATAGTTGGCTGCCATGAATAAACAGGAAGATTCTATTGGCCAGCATGAGAGCCAACAGCTGACTGACACAAATGTTAACTAGCATGCTAGCATGCAAAAAAAATCGATAGCTGCATTCGTCACAAGTGGGAAAAAATTTAAATCTGCATGGCACTTTACTCCAATTGGCTCATTCACTTGCTTAAACTCAACGTTGATTCTGATTCCGCAGAACTGGATTGGGTGTGAAAAAGTATTTGATGTTAACATACTTTTTTCATCCGGTTTTTCTAGTTACAAGTCCTTTAAAGCTGATCGTTTTGTGTTCATTTTGTTTAGTTCTTTTTTCGTAACAGATTTAATGTTTAGTATAGAGCTTAGAAAAAATTTGCAGCATGAGATAGGCAAGAAGTAAAGCATGTAGCAACATCACAGCAAAGGGCACTCCTTTAAAGGCAAGGAAGGGCAAAAATATTTTAAGTCAAGTGATAGCGATTGCTGTATGAGTCATACGATTTTTGAATCAAGCACAGGCAACGCCAGGCCATGCTGCTAGTTTTCTATAATATTTAAGTCGGAAGACTGACAATGCCAATTTTCAAAATTTACAATGTCTTTTTCTTTTAAATATGGTTGACTTCAAAGTATGACAGCTTTTGATGCCAAGAGAATTGGATGAGGTAAAACTTCCATATTAAGAGCTAAAATCTTTTCCCACATGCATATTGCAACATGTGAATTTGCATTGTCATTATTCAGTAAAGTTCAATTTTTCAACAAAGACTTGTTTAGTACGTCTAGTTGATGAGATTCTCTCTCAGAATTGAAGGTTTCATTACTATTCACCATTTCATGATCAATGACATCTTTCATATCTTACCAAATATAGAACAATCTTAGAGTATAATTCTGCTTTTGCTAAAGGCATAGAATTTCTTTGGGTCATAAAAATTGTCCCTTTTTGCTATATATGATTAGAATTCTTTCTAGAAATGGTTTGGTAATGTGTCTTGTTGTTAATGATGAACAGATATTGACTTTCTGATTAATTTGAGAATGGGTCAGATTATGTAGAACTCCCTGACCAGGTTTTGACACTTTACTAAATTCTTGGTGGAGGTGATTTATGAGTATCATAGGAATTGTGTTTATGTACTACAGCAGCCTTCATGCTGTTAACTTAGAATTTTCTTCAATTATTGTTAAGCGAATGTGATTATTGATTAGAATCTATGTAAGATTCTCTGATGAAAACTGGAATTTCTTAACACATAAGACAGTACAAACATTTCTTGCCATTTCTGAAACTTGTGAACTCATAAAAGCCTGAAATGTTTCAAAATAGATCTCATACAATTTTTATGTGTCACATCAATTTAAAAATTATTCAACTTGACATTAAATATTTCTAAAATGAAAGAGAAAAGATCAAAATGCTAAATCATATTCATATAATCACATAATCTTTAAAGTTATCATAGCAAAACAAGTGACAATGCTTACTTTCCAACCTATTAATTAACATTTATATTTCGTTATATTTTCTTTAACAATATCTATCAAGTAAGCAGGTAATAACAGGTAAACAAGTTTGATCATACAAAAATGTGTTTACACACATTTTCAGATGATCAAACTTGTTTACCTTTTATTAGATACTTGCATATACAATTTTGGGCTTCTTTGAAAATTCGTTAAAAGTAATTCATATACATTTGCATATGTGTGCATGAATTTGAAAATGTCCTCATTGGATATCAATGCAAAATATGGAATTTTCAATTTATTATCAAAGAACCTACTCTTTTGAGAAATGAGAAAAATGTTGGCTAAGTTTAACATACACACCTTCAAAAACAGTGCAGTCAAAAGGACATGTTTTGGCACCAATAATACTGTAGACTCCCTCAGCAATTTTTATCATTTTAAAAAGATATTTTTAGAATTTTAATAAAACTCAAACATATGAAACTGGATTTATTCATTTTCTTTTTTCTTGAAAATTGGAAACAAATGTATTAAATATTATTTTATTAGAATGTTTATTTAAAAAAATAATTTTATATTTACAAGTTCATAAAAATATGTGAACCAATGCAATATTATTTTCATTTATCTACAATAGCATAGTGGATAAAGGCATTGGTTTGATCCAGTGACTAGACCCAAAGAGTTCTGAGTTCAATACCAGGCTACAGCAGTCGTGAACCAAAAAATTTGGAAAGTTGAGTTAAAGGGAAATAACTGAGACATTCAGAAGAGGCATGGAATTAGAATAATCTATTCCAGTGGATGAAATAAAGAGTTCGGTTCGAAATTCCAATCACCTAAAGACGGTCGAAGTGTATCACAGCCGAAAAACATTATAAATATGACAATGAAAATGAGGATAACAGTCCGAATAATGTAAATAATTATTTTTTTTATTTTCATTTCCCCTCAAGCAAGGCAATAAAACTACTAAGATGAATGGGGTTAGTGAATGTTACAGAATATGAGAAAAAACAGAAAACACTATTAAAGCAAAAACAATAAAAGAACAAGAATTAAGAAGACAAAAGATAACAATTGACACTGCAGTTAAATTTTTTGAAGCTCAAAGTTGGCTGGAAAGCATGGAGCCAGAAGGGAATTCCACAAGTAAGAAATGCAAGATAAGAAACTGTTAGTATAAAACTTACAGTTCCATCTAGCAGCCATTTCAACTGTAAAATGATGAGACCTTGCTGTCAATCTAGTACTGCACTTAATTCATAGTCTAGGTACCATAGAGCAAAGTTCATCAGAACAATTACCATGAAAGGATTTATAGAAAAGGTATAGGGAAACTACATTATGGTGGTGAGAAAGTGACTGAAGCTGAGATGCCAGGTCAGGACCAATAGCATTGCAGATTCTTTAGATTTTATCAAGAATCTCTAAATAGAAACACCAGACCACAATGGCAACAATAGTCAAAACATGAACAAATGGTAGACTTATAAATATGCAAGATATCAAACGGATCAGTTACATTATTTGGACTGTTATCCTCATTTCAAACCTTTTATATAGCATACCTATGAACACTAATGGGTATGTCTCAATCCTCATAAATGCGTTGGACAGTATGTTGTCTAAGTAGTCCACCACTAGCAGTGGTTTACTTACTTCACACCACTTGCAAGTATTGTATTTTGTTGATGTTATAAAGATTACCATTTCATTTCCAATTTAGTTATTCCTCATTCAGTAACCCTTCCGAGTTTACAACAAAACCAAAACCTTTATTTCATCCACCAGGGTAGATTGTTCTAGTTCCATGTGTCATGCCTCTTCCAGATGTCTTAGTTATTTCTCTAACTCAATTCTCCAAGTTTTGGTTCACTACTGCTGTGGCCTGGTATTAAACTCACAACTCTTTGGGTCTAGTCACTGGATCTAATGAATATCTTTATCCAGTGGCTAAAGGCCAGGTTACAGCAGTGGTGAACCAAAGCTTAGAGAGTTGAGTTAAAGGGAAATAACTAAGACATCTGCAAGAGGCACGGCATGTGGTACTAGAACAATCTACCCTGGTGGATGAAATAAAGGCTTCAGTTCAAAATTCCAATCACTTGAAGAAAGTCAGAGCATGCAACAGCCAAAATGTTGTGAATATGGCAATGAAAATGAGGATAACAGTCCAAATAATGTAAATAATGTAAATAATGTAAATAATGTAAGTAATCATAATACCGCATAGATATAGACAAACTGAACAGATTTGCCATTAAAACGGGAATAAATATTTGTGTCATCAGCATAGATACCAACCTGAGGACTAATCACATTTACTATATTATACCAACCTGAGGACTAATCACATTTACTATATTATACCAACCTGAGGACTAATCACATTTACTATATTATACCAACCTGAGGACTAATCACATTTACTATATTATACCAACCTGAGGACTAATCACATTTACTATATTATACCAACCTGAGGACTAATCACATTTACTATATTATACC